AAGATATCACAAGATTTTTTTTTTATAACGAAAGGGAATGTTGAAGGTGTTGAAGGAATAAATATGGTGGAAATGGTTCGAAGATATAGCTATGCGGCCAAGCAACACAGAGCATACTCGATTTTTTGTGGGGTACAGAAATGGAAAATGTATTAAGCAACCCGTTGGCATTAATACTTTAGGGAAAATGCCGTATAAAATAGCATTGTTCCTAAGTCTTCCAAATCCACAACAATACACTGGACATTGTTTCCGTAGATCGTCTGCATATTTGCTTGCAGATTCAGGAGTGGATTTATTAACTGTTAAAAGACATGGTGGTTGGCGCTCTAACACAGTGGCAGAGAGCTATATAGAAAGTTCCAAAGAAAATAAGAAAAAAGTGTCATGTAATATTTTGGGTAACATTCTGGCAATGATGGGTCTTCAACAAGTGCAAGCACTCAGGAAATAAATTTACTTTCTAAAAATGCAACTCACCTGTCATCGTCTGGAATTAATTTAACCAATTGTACTGATATTATAATTAATGTTTACAATAAATAAACGTATTAAGGTACCTTTTTTTTGCTTGTTTCTTATTTTAAAATTTGCGTGTTATTATAAATTCATAATAGCACTAGTGCTAAAAGAGTGCTATTATGAAAGCCATAATGACATCCAAATGACAATGTTAAATGTGTCATAATCATGTCATAATGAAATTATCGTAGAATAAAACAAATTACAACCTTCTTAAGGTCGACTGGCAGTAAGCACCATTAAAAAGTATACATTACTGCGGGCCAAGTAAATGACCTTTATAGAGGTTGACCTCGCTAAAATTATCATCGATTGTCATTCCCCAGCCGTCTTTGACGCCGTTTTTTTTTCGAACGTATGGTATATTCTTAATATGTAATAAATACGTATATGAGCTAATTGATATTTTAAAGATCCATCTTTATATTTTCCGTTTTCTTAAAAACGATTTTAAAAAATTAATAAATGATTAAAAAAAATCTATTCCAAAACATAATTATGTATTATTATGTAATGTCTTGTAGTTTTTCATTCATTTCTGTAAATTTCTATACTGTCTGTATTGTAAAAGAAACCGCAGATTAATGAAATCACATGACATATACACAAGCAGTTGTAGTGGGATAATTGTTTGCACTAATTCATATATATTCTCAGAAGATTATAGATCAATTCTTATAATCGTATAATAGGTACTTAATTTACGTTGTTGATATAAACATACCCGGTGAGCTAAAACAAAATCTTTATTGTAATATTATATTTCAAAATTTATATCTATTACTTAGGCTATGTAATTAGTTTTTAGAAAGAAAATAAATTATTCCATAAGCAACGTATACAAAGTTATCAGTTATCTCTTTAACAGGTCACTTGGTAATTAAACTATATAAAGCGAATTTCAACTATACCAGAGCTTTTGATTTTAACTGGCAGATAAACTTAATAATACGTTTTTTTGAAAATTTAGTGCTCTCGTTTATCGCACCAATATAAATATACAGGGTGAGTCTTAAATAAGTGCAAATATTTTGGGGGTAGTATATTTCGACCCTAGAAACACGATTATGAGGGTTTTTTTGCGAAAAAAAATTTTTGGAATTGATTGAAAAAAGATTTGGAATTTTTTGAAAAAAATTCTGGAATTTTTTGTAGTTTTTTAGTTAAAAAACATAATTTCTTAATATACCTAAAGAATTAAAATATTTTTTACTTCTTCGTCCTTTCTTATAATTTTTTCGTTCGTTAATAAGTTCGTTCAAATTGAAGTGCAAACTTGTTAACAATCGGATGCCAGCCTTTAGAATGTCATTGTATAGCATACTTAAATATGTATACTAATTAGTAGGGTTTCCAAACCAGGATTCCGGTCTAAGTTTAATCCCGAACTCTCGATATTAAATCCCGGGATCCCGAAAATCTCGAAAGATTTAAGTTGTAAAGTAGTTGTAATTTTAGATTGATCTAAAATGATTCGACTTTATATACTTTTTAGTCTTTCAAAGATCATATTTTATTTATGCTAAGCAGAACGTCAATATCTTAAAGTTATATTTTCATATTTGCTATATATTTTTTTTGCAACACAAGAATGTATTTTTTTACTTATAAATATGGACTATGGTTACTTTGTTTTGTCTATTTTAATAAAGCTCTTTTCTCACTTTCTTTTTGATATATGTAGCTGCATTTTTATTAAATATTTCTTTAGATTAGATTTCTGATTCTGAAGATCAATCCCGGGATCCTGGGAATATAAATTCTGATCCCGGGATTTCAAAATGGGATCCTGATTCCGAAAACTTAGAGATTAAAATAATTATATTGGTAAAAACAATATCTACAAGCTACATTAAATGCAATTTATTTTGCTTCCACTATATATGTTTACTTTTAATTGTCTTAAATTCTAGTTATTCGATCTCAATCATTAAGAAATATTGTATAATGTTGCGTATAATATAATAAACAACACGTTTACTAGGAACTGTTCCAATCCTGTACTAAATTGGCTTTATTTGTGCCATAATTAAACAAAAAAAAATAATTAACTTACGAAATTGGACATCCGAAGTACCTTTAGAACACGCATATACTAGCCATAACATGCAAAGTAAATGAAACAATTTAAAAGGAACTTTTATTTTTCACCTTTGATAATAATTTACTTTATCTAAGATCATAATTAATGTAAATATCTTTTTATAAAATGGGCTTTGGATATTCTATTATTCTCTTAATAATCTAGTTGGCGTAATTATGGGATTTTATGTTAGCATTACAAATTATATTTGAAAATAAGCTTCATAAAAGCTTAAAAAATTATAAATTTTGAATTAATTAACGTTCGGGTTTATTTTTGATTGATGCCCTTAACTGACAAATGAAGCACTTTTGTATAAAGGTAAATTATGTGCAATTATTTATTTGGATTCAGGAGCTATAGATGCCCGATACACTATTGTCGGGCCCATATCTACAATTTACAATTTTACAATGAAGAACTCAAGGATACTATAGAGATAAGGATAGTTCGATTCCTGTACTGTCAGTTTTTTTACGTTTTCTAGGGACCGAGTTGAAGTTCGCGCTAAAGATTTTAGACAGTGACAGTTATTTTTGCGTTTGACGGACGAGCGCACAGTGCGGCAGAAGATAAAGCTAGCGGTAACTGTTTGGTTAGAAATAAGCCAAAAATGTGTACTGATAAGAATAAATAGTAGACATTCCAATTGATATAAAAATGCATGAATTATTTTTTGGTCGTATATATTCTTTGTATTTGGATACATTTTTATCAACCAACTGAGATTTTGTCCCGCTAGAATAACCATCCGCCGCACTGTGGAGCGCTGGTCCCTGCGTGACGTAAGCATCCACGGTGACTACGATAGCGGCGATTATACAGGTTGTTAATTTGTTCATTACTCGCGGCAAGAGCTTTATGGTTGAAATATGGCAACCTCGGCCCGCTCGTTGATAGAAGACGCGATGGGACGAGTCGGCAGAAAAATCAATAATGCATGCGTTCTCAATAGGCAGTGTTGCCATTCTGTTCTCATATAAGTAACTGTCGAGTTAACAACCTGTATACAGTCCTTGTGAAGAACTAACCATAACCAACATAACATACAGGCCAGAGACATCGATTTGTGACGTCACCGCACTAGTCCGGCTTTTGTATTGTGCCATATGGTACTGCATATAGTTTTTGCATAAATAATAGTATTTATTGATAGTTTTGCCAGATATAAATATGAAAAATATTATACAGAAAGGTATTAAAAAATAACATTAACTTTTTATCGCGTTAAAGTAATTGAATAGCATTAAAATTTAGATCTAAAGCACGAATATTAATATGAAATAAACTACAGCATAAGATGAACAAAATAAAATCTAGATAATAAAAAGCGTGTCCTAAAATTGCTGTCCTGTGAAAAGTTTCCAAATATTAAAAAATTTGAAAACTATACGTTTATCGACAAGTTAAGAAAATGTATTGTATATGATAACGGCAGAATACATTTTAAAGTTTAATTAAAAATAATTGTAAAAATTTGCCTAACATATTTAAAAAATGTGGATATCAGATAGAATTAACTATTAACATTAAGTAATTTGTAGTTCGATGTTTATCAAGTAACCATCTCCATAAATCGTAAATAAAAAGATAAAGATATCATTTTTTTATATAAAATACTGAAATAAAGTACAAATTCATTTAATTTCTTAAATATATTGCCATTTCATAATAATAATATATATTTCATAAAAATAATAATACTTTTCAATATTTATTTCATCCTGAATTTCCAAATCTTGTTTTCTTTCATCGGGACGTTTTCTCTTTATGGGAACATGCATAACAGGGTTGATTTGGAAAAATTGTAGGCACAGCATGTTCTGTAGGTTTTGGACGTGACCTAGTTACAGTTAATATTGTTAGGAAAGAGAATGTAGACAGATCCTGAGGACTTATTATAATTGCTGCTACAAGGCACAGGCACAGAACAATGTCGCGGAATTTTTTATTTCACAAAGTAAAAATAAAGAAACGAAAACTGTTTTACATAAAAATACACGTCACTTACGTTGGTTTAACACTATACACTAACACTAACGCTATTAATTAAGTTTTTATATAAATTCCCCAACTTTTTCCTAGTCCGGACACACAGCCGGCATCGCCGGTGTTACTATAATTTTTACCGAAAGTATGTTTTTTTTCGCGGGTACGATGTTATGAATCGGATCCAGATAGTTCACTATTCACTCAAAATTATTTAGTATAATTTTATTAGCATAGAAACGCGTAAAAAACACAGATTTGTTGAGAAACTAGTGAAAACAATTGGTTTGTTTACGACTACTAATTCTGGACCACTTGGGTAGAACTGTCAAAACAGTGAGGCCTTGAATATGACGTTAGCCACGAACCAACCTATATTGAGAAAAATTCCCCGTACATTCTTGTCAATAAAACGTCATTTAGAAATTTTCAAAATATGAAAACTACAGGAGATGATTCGAGAAGAAACATTTACATATCTGCAGAAAAAAGATACAGAAGGCTCTCTGGATTAGTCCATACAAGTTTACAAACTGACAATAACTCTGAGTAACTTTTTATAACTATATTATGAGTTAATTTATTTCTTCTGAACATAATTTTAATAGGTTTATGAAAGATGGCATTGAAACGTCGGTAGAGTTTGGTAAAATTGATAAAATAGAATCAAATACAAAGTGTTTAGAAGAAAACTGTTACAAATTTACGTCCGAATTAATTGACACTAGTTTAAAGCCAAGAAGACAATCCAGAAGACTATACGGTCGATGTAAATGTTCAACGAATGCTAATTCCGTTCAAGTTCAAAATGAATCCAATGAAGATACTTCTGATGAATTAGCCAATGACACGCTAAGGGAAGATAAAATAAATTCGTCTAATATTGATGAAAATTCCACTCAATTGTCTGATGATTATCTAAAAGAAAACATTAGTAATCCTTCTAAAAGACGACCCTGGAGACTATCTGGACAATTTAAGTGTTTAACGAATGCTAGTTCCGTTCAAGTTCTAAATGAATCCAATGAAGATACTTCTGATGAATTAGCCAATGATACTCTAAGGGAAGACAAAATAAATTCCCCTAATATTGATGAAAATTCCACTCAATTGGCTGCTGACTCTCTGAAAGAAAACATTAGAAATTCTTCTAAAAAAACATCCAGGAGTGTATCTGGTCGATTTAAATATTTAACTAATTCTAGTTCCGTTCTAGTTCTAAATGAGCCCAATGAAGATACTTCTAATGAATTAACTAATAATATTCTAAGGGAAGACACAATAAATTCCCCTAATAATGATGAAAATTCCACTCTATTGGCTGCTGACTCTCTAAAAGAAAGCATTAGTAATTCTTCTAAAAGACGATCAAGGAGACTATCTGATCGATTTAACTGTTTAATGAATGGTAGTTCCGTTCAAGTTCTAAACGAATCCAATAAAGATACTTCTAATGAATTAGCTAATGATATTCTAAGGGAAGACAAAATAAATTCACATAATATTGATGAAAATTCTACTCAATTCGCTGATGACTCACTGAAAGAAAACATTAGTAATTCTCCAATACCCAAAAGAAATTTAAAAAAGAGACGAAAGAAGGAATTAAGTGAAAAAGAAATAATTAAGTATTACTTGGATAAAACTTTTAAAAAACGATTCAACTCTCTTGAAACGATTTTTGAAGCCCCCGCTAAACAGAGTATGAGTGTGAGAAAGTACAAGAGATTTTTAACATTTGATAACAGTCAGTCTAAAATAAACAAACGACATAGCAAAGTATTGAAACGTAAAGTTTGTAGTAAATCTGGTAAAAAAACCTTAAACTAGTAGAGAGTTGATGCATTAATATTTTCCTCTGTGTGCTGTTATTAGTTTATAATTATTAATAAATATTCGAGTAATTTTTGGTGACAAAACATTATTGGTGATTGACATTATATTTAGATTAGCTGCATTGTATAATCCTATCCATGTATTAATAATAAATAACGCTTTATTGTACAAAAAACCAAAATAGCTTCATCGACAAAGCATTTACAAAACAAACAAAAGCACAAAAATACACTAATAATAAAAAATATTATACAATACATATCAATTCAGAAAAATTTACGTTATTAAAATTACAAATAAAACAGCATTTTTCAAATCATCAACATTTTAAAATTCAAAATTGTTCATGATTAAACATCAACAAAAAAGTCGTTCACCGCATATAGGACTCTCTCCAGTAAGTATATAAAACAAAATAAAATATAGTAAATAAAACAACAAATCATTGAGCCTACACACATTATATTTTTACACGTATTAAATAAAATTGGAAAGGCACTGATAAACCGGAAATTAAGTCGACCATTTTAGGTCCCCATCGCGCTTTATTTAAGATTTTTATATGCTCCTTCCTATATAGGGAAATTAAAATAACTTTCGTTGCGCATCATAATACGACCACCAGCAAACTCCATAAGACGACGCATGGTGTCATTGATGACGTGCATCGAAAGTTGTTCCAATTTTCCTATATATTTTTATGCAAAATGTCCATCACTACAGTACATCTGCTGGATCTGTGTCTATGAAAGGAATGCGGACAAAAAACATTTAAATAAACAGCAATATATTTTATACGTCGACTTGACGAGTACGTCACCGCAAATCGCTCCGCCCACTCATTTTATTGGCTGCTTGCAAATTTGTTGAATTTGTATTGATAGGACGCGTCGTCTATTTTTTTATGAAAAACATTGAGAGAATATCGTTTCCCCTCTCACGGATACCCCGTAGCTACAGAACGGACAGACGTACTGTAGTAGTTATAAGCTTGATTGAAGTTCATCTACATGTCAAAGTCACAACATGAATTATGACAATGCTGTATATTTGTTGGAAACGTCAAAAAAACTACCTTGACAGTGAAATTAATATTTTAAACATTTTACAAACCTCATCAAGATGCATCCAGACTTATCGCCTCATCTGCACACCGATAAATGTAATGAGCTAATCAGACAGCTGCGAGCTTGTCACACCGATCATAAGTTCCTAAAGTTTCTCGGCTACTGCAATGAGTTCGATACCCTAATGGACAGATGTCTCAAACAAGAAAGAATAGCTAGAAGAGAGGAAAACTACAGGAAGTCTTTGGAAGAAAAGAAACGGATTGCTAAACGCTTGAAAGAACTGAATGATGCTCGCGTAAATGGATAGAGATTTTAGCTAAATTGATGATGTTATGATTGTTATGTACCTACTGCATTGGTAGATTTGTTTTATTTAGTTGTAATATTATATTTTTTCTTAATATGGATATGTTTTTAATCTTCAAATATGGAAATGAATGAATATGTATTTTTTTAATAAATGTATTATTCCTTGGTTGATTTGTTTTTTTTTTCATGGTAATACAAAAGAATATCTAATAAATTATTGAAAACAAAGATGCAAACTAAATTAATTTAGGTATCATTTAACTTTCCTTCTATACCAGTACCTTTAAATGCAAGTTACTATAAAAAATATCCATTTTTATGGTGAAATTCCTATTATGATTTTACTCTAGGGTAATATGTTATCCCACATGTTATACAGATATACCGGGTGCGTCTCAAAAGTGGCTCACCCCAATAACTTTTTTATTTTGTCAGATAAAAAACGAGATTTGGTATGTTACTATATGACATAAATCAGGATTGATTGACGCATTCACTTCCTGTTTCACCGGGAATGACTACAACTTTAGATTTTTAAATTACACCCTCGGAATGTTTTACTTTATTCGATAGAAAATGGCACTCTGAATATAATGACATTTCATATTTCAACTTTTAAGATTTTCGCTTTAAAAAAGACTTTTAAATTTCAATCTAGAGTGCTATATTAGTGTTAAAAACACTAATTTTTAATCAAGGAGCCTTGAAAAAATAGATTTGATCGTCTAATGTTTTTCGTGTCTTGTCCTGGCCAGTTAAAAGATGCTCAAATCGTATTTTTAATCATATCTGAATTTTTTCAAATGGAACAAGGCTTGCTCAAAAGCATTTTTTACGAATAATATGATACAACACACTTGGTATTTCGAGTCAAATTGTCGTTATGAACCGCATGCATACAATTTCAAATAAATTCAAAGAAATAAACTATATGCAAAAATATCAAAAGTTAACAACTGATATGTCATATATGTCATTCTATTCAGACTGTCATTTTCATCATTAAAATCGTATTCACTCAATCTAAAAATAAATTACAACCTTCTTAAAGTCAACTGGCAGTAAGCGCCTTTAAAAAAATCAAGAAGAGGACGGGCCAAGTAATGACGTCTAGGACTTGACCTTGCCAAAATTATCATCGATTGCCATTCCCCAGCGGTCTTTGACACCGTTTTTTTTTCGATCTTATAATACATTGGATATACTGTAAGAAACCTATTGTAGTCTTGGTTTTAATAGTTTTTTTTTGTTTTAGCATATTTTTGCTTATGTATTTATAGAAATTCGATAAATAATCATTTATCTCTCTCATTTAAAAAATCAAATAAATACATATAATAATTAATAAATTTTACTTTTTTAATATTTGTTAATGCACTAAAGAAAATGAAATAATATTTAAGTTAAAAATATTAAATCAAAAGTTTCAAGATGTTTAAAAATATTTACATAGAGTATTTTTGAAGAAGATAATCCCCTATGTTTGCCATTTTATGTAACAACCTAACGAACTTCTCGGACCGGTTCCAATACTGTTATTCTTCAACAATGATAGCCAGTAGATCTCCTATTAAGTGTGCAGAGTTGTATTATAAGTACGATGATCCGTTATATTTATCAATAAAACACCTGGTAAGTTGCTTCACTCAAAATATTTAAATATGTTATAAGGATGTAAGATATAATTACTAAATGGTATTGTTTGAATTCTTCTTCAAACTTTAAATAGAATTTTACATTGTGTTGAGGCAATTATTTGCTATAATATCGACATATGTACATATCACTTTGACTAGTTTATACATTACATCCATATAACATCATATACAATTATTTTATACATTACCAAAGATAATTCTACTATTATAATATTCTTTGACATTACTAAACATATACTACCTACTATGACGCACCATAGTATCGGTAAATTACAAGAGGTTTCTTGGTATCGAAATTTGACACCATGTATGGTAACGCTTTGGCTCAAACAAAAAATACCTCAACAGTAGAGGCAAATGTGTTCTATGGTAAAACGCTCTATTAACACCCGTAATCAAAATAGTCTGATTTTTATGATACATTAGGTCATATTAAATTACTTAATCAATGTCAACTAACTTTAATAAATAAATTTTAGAAATATTTAGTATTTCAAGGAACAATTTAAATATATAGGTAGACCAAACAAATTAATAAATGTTTTTTTCTTTTAGTTAAATTGAACTAAATCCATTTGTTTATTTGAAATTAACAGACATAATTGCTATAACCCTTGTTTATATAAAAATATATATACAAGGGTTATAGTAACTATGTCTGTTAATTTCAAATAAACAAATGGATTAACTATAACTAATGGAATAGCTAATACTAGTATACATAAAAACTTTCAAAGCAGAAGATAGATATTAAATGACAATATGAACGACGATGCATCAAATCAGAAGCCATTTCTTATCTTAATCACATAGGAATCACATAGAATCACATAATCACATAGGAAACTTAAACAAATTATATAAAATGAACTAAGACGTAGTTCATAAAACATCTGAAATATATTCGATAAAATTAAAAAAATAATAAGAAGAAGAAAATAGAAAAGAAAATGATTTCAATTGATTTTAATAATAATAAAGTATGTGTATTTTGGTATAGGGAATCTTCTCCTGTATACATTATAAGAGAACTAGCTTTTTACAATTATGTTCTACCACAGAATATCTAGCTACGCAACAGAAGCCTCGCTACATGTATAAAATCGTAGGTCTCAAAAGGAGACAGGCTTTAAAAGCCTGTCTCCAAATCAGATATTTTGATGTGGCAGTTTCACTACTACATAACAGAGGGCGATAAATTTAAAAGAAAACAGTTTTCTACAAACGAAATTTAAAAGAATTTTATGCAGTGTTGCCATTTGTAATTTATATTGTAATATTTCCTGATAAAGCCTAGCTTCAAATTTGCTACATCATTTAAACATATTAAAATACATCTCTTTTTTCAAACGTTTAAGTATTTAACTTGCCATGTTAGTTGGAGTTAAATCTTACGAGCTAAATTAAAATCACTTCCTGACGTTTGATTCTAACTGAATCCTGAATTTTGATTGTAATTCGGCGACAATATAATAAGTATTGTTCTACTATTATGACACCACTTCCTGACGTTCGATTGTGTTCATACCGTATGATCGGGAAAAAACGGCGTTAGCGATGGCTATGAAATGAAAATCGCTGACATTTTGTTATTAAGAACTATAACTAAAATTTAAAGCATATAGCCTAGTTATTTTCTGTCCAACGTCTCTTGTTCAACGAAAATGCAACGAAAGAATTGGAAAGAATATATGACAGTTGACAGGTAATAATTATTATCTTTTTAGCCGACCCTTTGAATAAGAAGACTAAGGAAGGAGCATAATGCTATCCATGTATTTATGCATGGTGGGCGGAAAAAGCTCTCTAGGGTGGGGATCTTTGACAGTTCTGTTTGACGATTCACTTGACTCATTTGAAATGCATTTGAATTTGATTTGAAATTTTGTGGATTTGTCAGTCTTTACGGAGCTTATTTTATGTTATTTATTATTTATTCTACTACTGATAGTTGTATAAAGGTAGCAAATCTAGATCGAAATTGTGGCAGAACTTAAATTAACAGTGACACTATCGCGATTTATCGAAAAAGACTCTAAAATAGTTGGT